ATCATGTATATTATATATATTTCAAAAACTCAATAAAATTAATGTTCAGATACAGTATTACCTAAGTGTTCAATGATCACATTATTTTCTAAAAGCCATTTTCTTAAACACTAATTTACTGTCTGAAATTATCCACAATCTTATGTGTTTTTTATCTAACAGATATGTTGCGTATATTCTGAGAATATGGATTTTCTGTAACTGATATTCCTATTGTGTGTTTTTCGAAACTCATGAACCATTTTTATGTTTTCTTAGTAGTGATTTCGTGAACACTATGTCGAATTAAATTTAAAACTGTTACTGTATTAAATAATTATTAGATTACTAAAGGAATCACTGCAAGTAGTTGTGTATTTGAATCGATGAATTAAAGACATATGTGTGTTAGCTGCCAGGTGGTTGGTTGAATACTTAAGTTGATGGTTATATTGCCCAAAGATGGTTATATTTTACCAAAAGTGACAAAAATATATCATCAAAAATCTGATAGAGGACCACACAAGGTACACACATACAAAGTTCAACAAATTACCTAGTAATGTTCTGTACCAGAGTTCACATCATTCACGTGGTGACCCTGTCATTCCCCCAAGCCCCAACACTGTTTTCTCTACTTCTAGCGAAATTGTCGTAGAATGGGCTGTAGAAAAAATTATTAGCTCTGTGAACCATCTATAAGTAACCTAACTCCTGTAATTCATAGTCAAAGTAATAATCAGAGTAAAATAATACCACATCATCCACTGCCACAATATCTTTGTATACAATATGATGACAAAAACATGCATTTATGATAATCCATAAAAAAGAGTTTTGGCTTACATTAAGAATTATTTCTCATCTCATAAGATTTTGTAGTAATTAAATATCTTTAGCTGTATGAATGATGTGTATCCTTTTTGATATTAAGGCTCTCATTGCGCTTAGAGAGTCTTTTTCGTTGCCAGTGTCAACAGCCAAATAATTGGCCGTTTCTTCAGCAGATAAGTTCCCAGGTGTTTCTGCATTCAGTTTAAGCGGATAAAGGGGAGATTTCGGTCGATTAGTCTTACCATGTTCGTTTTTTAATCCAACTACGCGAATAATTCTATCAGCTCCAGGTAGAAGTTTTCTAACTCTCCGACAGAAATGCTATTTGTTGTGGTTCAAATGTCTACAGTGTAGATAGGTACTGAACTCGATTATTAGCAGTACTGTTATTCCGTTTGAAATTGTAGTCATTGTCATTGATTTGAGGCAGACTTCGTAGTGGATGGCCATTTAGGAGATTCGATGGTGTCAGGCTTGATAAATAAGACAAGGGTATGTCATTTTCTGCAGCTTTCACTTTGGATAATAAAGTTGACAATTCAACGAAACTTGCGTATAAACTTCTTTGTTACTAATATCATTCTTTCAAACAGTCCACCAGCCCAAGGTTTAACCGTTATCAGATACCATATATAGCGAGGTGTAGAGCGGTGTGTGGTGAAGCGTTGCATTGCTAATAGAGATGAGGTAGTGAGGAGATAATTCAATAATAGATTCAAGACGAATCGCACGTATTGTACAACATGTATATAAACAAACCTACGATTTGAGAACAGCTACATGGCGCAGTTGTTGTTCTCATGGCGACTTATCGCTGGGATGCAATATTGTTCTCGTATCATTTGTAGTTGCGTTAGAGCATCGCTGATAATCGGCGCGGTATAGGAATGATTTCCGCTGAGTAAAATTAGATGTAGTAGTATAGAACAGTCATCGATATATACCCGCAGTGTAGATGAGACAGAAAATTGCATTTAGAAATGTCATTATTAGTTGCAATATTAGGATTTGTCTTAGTCGATTCGGATTCATTGGTGTGCGGAGTTTCCAAAGTTTTGACGCAGTTCGGTGCCATCGAATCCGCCCGGGTAATTTCAGTACAGTAGAACAATATGTCTCGCTGATTTGTTTGGAGCATTTTCAGAAAATGTACAAACTAACTATTTCAGTTTCATGCAATAGCTCAATTTTACTGATTAATTTTAAAAACCTGAAATAGTTCTAATTATGTTATACATCTTAAGCATCAAGCACCTTGCATTCCAGCCATTTCTGCCGATCAGACAACCTACTGGACACCGTCTGTCATTTGTAGATTGAAGGTAAGAAGGTCTGGATTGGATTCGATTTCGCGTAAATAAGTTGGGATTATTACGATTTTGCAACCAGTAACGAATCATTTGGTTATCTGATCACAAATAGTATTTAGTAATTTTTTATTTTTCCACAAATAATTCAGCTACGAACGCGCTTAGCCGTGTCAACCCAACTGTCTCCCTTAATTCGAGACAGGGTAGAGTAAGAGATTGGTTTTTAATGGGTGCCACCCTCGAAATTGACATCACGAGACAAGATTCGCTATCGTCAGTGTATAAGCGAGGCATCAGAGAATACGTGAAGCTCAACACTATTCAAAGCGCCGGAGGCCTGATGACTGTTCACTTCTGCATAGTTTCCCTTGATATTAATTATGCATGCAAGCCAAATAGACCATTTTCCGTTCACTGCGAGAATCACGCGTTATGCGTGAAATCGAACGTAAAAACAAGACAAACAAAGGTCATAGCGTCGTAGTGGCGTCAAACATCGCGTGGGATTCGACAAACGCGAAAGTATTTTGGGGGACACTTCCATGCTTAATAATGTGCTGTCCACATTTGATGATAGGCAATTTCGATTAAGTGAGGGTATTCGGAAGCATTATTCCTCTGTCGACGATCGGCCGGTCGATGTGAGCTACGAAATAAAGAAATTCGAGTTCAAAATCAAATCGTTCGATTTTTACGGCAGACGTTCGACGCGCGTCTTTCATGCATCTCGCGAGATCTCGCAATTGTACGGAAAATCACCTATTAGTCCTGAGGACTGTCGACAGTCTATATAAGCCACGATTTCACGTTTAGTTTCGAGTTCATGTATCATCGAATTGACCTGTATTTGACGTTGTTCCCTGTATGAGCGAATATTGTTGTACTGTCAGCATTCACTGAAGTATGGCTGTCTGAAGAACCAAATTGCAGTGTTGTGGTTATTGTTTTGGCGAGAGTGTAAGTATGCATTATTTTGTGTAGTATTGTTTCCCATGTAAGTGTAGTATGGTTTGTGTTGAGTGGTGTGTTGAAAGCAGATATAGAAGCGGGTTGGGGTTTAAGTATACACTTATTTGTATCGATTTCCTTTTCGGTAATTTTTTCCACATGGTGATTTTTTTATTGCCCAACAATGACCACCTGGCAGGTAGTCTGGTAGATTCTACATGACAATCTGCTACATCAGCATAACTGAGACATCATTTACTCCACCTTGTATCGATAGTGTTGCCCCTGTTTACCAGCATCGTCTGTATTATACAAACATATGCTCCCTGAAACTTCAACATCAATCAAAATATTCTCAGTATTATTTCATGTACAGTCACATTCTAGACTTTATTTGATGTAGTTTCCTTTTGAGTTTTGCAACGTGAGTCAGTCTTTCACGGATAAAACACGATGAACATTTGTTAATAACATCTGTAGTCATGAATTATATGAATCAGTTACCCTTTTCACCGTCGGCTACGTGCTTAACGGGGAGCATACCCTACTGCATTTGGCGAGTAGGGGGGGGGGTCCTTGACGTCTTTTGTGACGCTCTGTACAGTTGAACACGTTTTTGAATTCTGAACTTTAATTATATGTATACCAATCATTTTTCAGGTTAAAATGAACGCCTAGAATTGGGTTAAATTAGCGAGATTATTATTTGAATGATTGTTTTTATCTTTCTATTGCGACTAAATAGCTACAAAAAGACTCAATAAATTATATTTTTTAAATCCCCAGGGTACAAGCTTTTTAAAAAATGTGTTTTTACGTCTGTATCTACGTTTTGTGAGGCGTAACACACTCATATATACAATATTATGAAAAAGAAATAACTTATGCAATTATGCTTTTGTGCGAGGAAGCTGTTATTTAATGTTTTCTCGTAGTTCGGTTGTCTGTTAAATTGAATGCGTTGAAAAATAATCTATGAAATAGTTTCCGTCAACACTAAGCATGCAATATTTCTTGTTAAAGAACTCGTAATTTGAAGAAAAAGGCATACACACGTAGAACACGTCAATGAAGATACGTCTATGACCTTCAAGCCTGTTTATCGGCGCTAGCAGGCCGTTATCACGTAAAAATGTGGAAATTGCACGATAAGAAGCAATTGGTAATGACAAATGGGCAAGCTCTAGTGGTAAAATCATCAGATTAAAAACGCCGAAATCCCTCGTTTCCAACGTGTTAGGGCTGACCTTGTATCGGGCATATTGATAAGCATATGACTAATATGTGAAACAAACTAGGTGTGTTTGTAAACACTTATTGCGTGTCATATAGCAACTGATATAACGTCGAAGCATGCTTACAAAAGCCGTCACAAATTGGTAATCCTGTGACAGGTACGGGCTTGTAGAACAAAAAGCAGTAACGACGTCACATTCTGAAGCTAAAAAAGCGTGACCGATTGGCATTCGCCTAAAGTCTCTTTGCCAATGAAAAATCATAATTCACGCAATGGCGTGATGATTAACAATTAGCATTGCGTCACGCGTTG